ATTGAATGTTTGTTTACCAGTTTGTCTGACTCAGTAGTCAATCCACCACTGAAAAACAACCACAGTAGTTTTACATTGAATTGTTTACCAGTTTGTCTGACAGTAGTCAATCCACCACTGAAAAACAACCACAGTAGTTTTACACTGAATGTTTGATTACCAGTTTGTTTTACTCAGTAGACAATCCATCACTGAAAAACAACCACAGTAGTTTTACACTGAATGTTTGTTTACCAGTTTGTCTGACTCAGTAGACAATCCACCACTGAAAAACAACGTACTTGAATGGGTTTTCTGAGGGGTAGTTTTACTCTAGTATAGTTTTGTAATTAAATATTTACCTTGAGCTTGTTCAGGCTGGGTTTTCTGAGGAGTAGTTATACTCATAGCACTCAACAGGTCTTCGCTACTCTCCGATTCACTATAGCTTTCTTGGTTTCTATCATTCAACACCACTTCTTCATGATCCGATTCTGTCTCAACTGGTACCTTCATCCCTTTACTTCTACAAGTACCTACATTTACAGTCATGCTGGATTCATAATCTGTCAGACAAACTGCTGGATCTATACTTCCATTCCAGTTCATGGCAGCTTCTCCTGTAACTTCCCATACATATCGTAATGATTCAGAGTTCATGTTTCGATTTTCAACTTGATTCAAAACAGCTCCAGATTCTTCTTGAGGCAGTAAAGTTTCATCAAGCTTGCTATCAGTCAAATTCTTGGGTAATAAGGTTTCTTGAATCTGTTCACTCATCCAACCTGAAGTATAACTGGCATTTCTCTTAGATAATTCTTTCTGGTAAACATTCAAAGACCGATCTACAGATTCATTTAAGGCTTTATCAACTGTTCTAAGTCCACCACTAAAGTTTTTAATTTTTGTTAAGTCTTTCGAAGGAGGATTAAATGATGTGGCTGATAATCTTGTTTGCTTTAGTTTTGATTTTTTAAGACAATTAGGAGGTGGCTGTAGCTCCATCATATATTTGGAAGTTAACTTTAGTTTTTTGGAAAGTTTATCCAGACTCAAGTTTTCCTTTTTAGTCTCAAACAATGCAGGTGTAGAGGGCTGAATCCGAGCAAAATCTTGAGGTTCTTGAACTGAGAAGTTATCCGTTGTGGCTGACAACTCACTTATAACATCATTTTTGTTTTTACAAATATCATACATTTCCTCCTGCTGTTTACAATACAACAGAGATGGAGAGTCATCTAATGGTATGTTTTGTTGAGAAACTACAGGGTTACTGGTTACATTTTTCCGAGTGTTTCCCTTCATCTGTAGAACACTTGAACGTATAGGTGATGGAGAAAAGATTTCCTTCTCACTGTCCTCTTTGCTTTCAGCATGTTGTACTGCTGACTTGGATGATATGGGTAGTTGCAGTTTGGACTTGGAAAGCCTTGTCCTGAAGGACTTTTGTGTTGAGGTAAGAATAGAAGTACTTACCGTTTTTACAAGAGAGACTGGATTCACAATATTATTGATCTCTCTGCTGGATGTTGTTACAATTTCTGCTTTAATGCTGTTTTCAGAGCCGAGTTTGGATTTATCATGTGGAGCATCAAAATTTCTCTGATCATCTAATGTTTCTGCTATGTGAGCAATAGTAACATTTTGGGAATGTTCATCTTGAAAACTGACCTGTGGTTCAATGGTCAAAGTTTCCGGTACTAGTACATTGCTCTCTCTAATAGATGGAACTCTACATAAATCCTTACTTCTTGAAGAGGCAGGCTGACCATCTTCATCATCTTTAATGTGTACTGAAGAAACACATTTAGTACGTTTCTTCGCAGTTGGTAAACCATTACTATGACTTCTCTTCTTCCAGAATGTTCTTTGTGATGTTTCTAAGTGACGATCAGTTTGAACTCCTATGGATCTATAATAAGTAATAATAAACAAGAACAACAAAAATGTAAACACACAAGTGAACTTATATGTATACACATTACATGAAAAGTGTATTGCATCAGATACTGGACTGTTTTGGTTTCAGAACAGCAAAGTTCTGGGATTGTCAGATTAACTGTTGGAAATCTATTACTTTTGTTAAACAGCTTTGAAATCTCTCTCAGGAAATTTTCTGACATTCAAACAAGAGAACAAGTTGTTTTTGACCCTTCTAGCACAAGTGCAGTATTGTACAGGACCTTGAATATTACTGTACAGAAACTGGAACATGAATGTTGTGTGTAAAAAACAGAGCAGTCAAAGTCAGTAAGAAATTGTAATACTGCTGTTCCAGTAAAATCAGGAACACAATTTCTGCACAACACAATAGTACACTCTTTGTGCTACATGAAGAATGACCCACTTCAAATGGCCACTACTGTTGCAGGACATGCAAGTTTACCACAGTAAAATCAGAAATTATCTTCGTAACATGGGCAACAATTGCAAAGCATCACAAACAGAAGCCTCTCTTCACTCCAGGCAACATCATACATTGAAAGCATGGGCATCACAATATACTATCCAGTGTTCTACCTATTAAGACACTGTATTTTAACATACTTGCATAATTCTTTGTAGGGATAACATATCGGGAACTTTCAGTGAATTGTCTGCAAGCCATGACAACATAAGACAGTACTGTTATTAAGGTGTCGAGTGTCTGTTGAGCAACTGGATGATCACACCTGGTGGTTTATAAAGGATATGTTGCTACTGTTCAATATATTACAATTCTCCAACAAGGTCTTCTGCTTCATTTAACCCAAATCACACAATGATGGTTCGTAGATCAGGGTGTAATCACTCCCATATGACCAAGCCAATGTCAAATACTTGAAAATTTGATTATTCCATGCAAAAGCATTATAAATAACCATCTCCTAGGGACATACTGATTCAGATGTGAACAAAACGGCATTACTGTTCAACTTCAGAATGTAACCTAACCCAATAACC